TGGGGGGGGGGGGGGAGGACTTGTTGAATTTGTGATTTTAAATATGTCGTGATGTTTCTGAGGTTGTAATGGCTGAAATCATGAGAAATCTAGAAGATATAAGAATGTGTCATTTTTTCTTCGAGATTATTTCCTTTCTTCTTAGTTTGTCTTGAAAAGAGTGACATTTCTGTATTTGAAAAAGATCTAACTTTATTCATTTTACCCATTGATGGCATGATTTAATAATCACACAATTATCATGACATATTTAAAATCATGTCTAATCGAATATGTTCATATAAAATGAAACGGGGAGTATATTATAAAAGAAAAATAAAATCCAAATTCCAAAACTTACCTAGGTACAATAAATTCAGAGAGCTGAAGTAACTTCCAATAACTGATAATATCCATAGGAAAGTGATTGCCTAAGTCCAAATAAACCAAAAAAATTGGAGTTAAAACAAAATTTTCAATAGAAAATAAAAATAAAAGAATTAAATGAAATTGCATATGATAAAAATGTACCAAGAAAAAATTTCTGAAATCTTTTCCAGATGAAATTTCATAGAATTTCACCAATATAGAGTTGAATTTCCCACATAACCATCTAAATGTTGAATCAGATATCATAAATGCTCGAAAATCGGGAGGATTCCTGAAAAATTATGATTTTTTCACACTATCAGATCATCAAATAGCCCTTCATAAAAATAGATGAATCCCTGTACTCAAATTGAAATTTCCAACGTAATACCAATAATTCTGATGGGATGAATAAGACAAGTTATCTATTACAATAGATAAAATTGACCTAATAATATACTATTTTTATACTATCGATGTATATAAGTTAAATTCGAGAATATATTATGAAAATTTACCAATCAACAAATCCAGCTCCCATAGACCAAATGAAGAGAATTAACATGATGCTCATGGAAATATGACACAAAAGAGTCACAATATTATACTCCATAACTTCAAAAAGAGACCAAATTAGTGTGAATCCAATTAAAATTGATCCTGTTATTGTCTTGTCTCTCCATAACAATATGTCAGCAACTGTCAAAGAAAAAAAAGAAAGAAAAAAAAACATATTATTAAAAAAGAACAAAGAAATAACATGCAATATAGACTTATATATTGGTGTTCGAATAAAGTCTCATAATTTTAAAACTAAAAAAAAAGGTTACATATAAAGTATAGGGATAATTTTATTGATATATGTTGTTTTTGAAGAAAATTATATGAATTTAACTCAAAACAGACATTATCACGCTATATTAAGAATTTCTTTAGAATATATGGTCTAATGCATGAGAAAACTAGACACAGTGTTTCAACAAAGTCTCACATTAAAAATTAATGAGAAAAATCTAGGGTTAAAATTTGCAAATAGACACTTTCAGTTTTCCTTGTTTGTGATTGAAAAATAGTCAATATCTTCGAGTTTTAAATTTCCAAACCTCCCAAGATCATGTCCTAATCAGTACTCACTCGTGAAATTTGAAACTCATGTGACAATAATGTATCTATTTTTCAAAAACAAGGCCAAAAAGTAACAAGATGGAGTTATTTCTACGGTGTTGGAATAATCTTAATGATTTTAAACTTCTTGGAGAAGATTATATCGATTTTGCACAAAACAAATATTATCACACCATGTTATAAGAATTTTTTCGTACTAATTAGCCCAACATGCTTCAAGTGAAAGACATATTTGTTTACATAGTTCAGATCGAAAATAATGAATTCAATTGAACACGCAAAAACATCCTGAATCCGCCTCTCTTCTAAACAAAATGAAGAAAAATTAAATGAATATTACCTTTTCCTCCTCCAAGAATTGCATGCATTGGCCTATTATGAGCCAAAAATCTTCTTGTGGGTGCTGAATGTGAAGGGTGTGGATCATCAGAATCAGAAGAATAAATTGGCATATTGTTTTATGAATTTTATGAACAATATTGAATTATTATGAGTAGTAATATTGTTGAAACTTGTTGGAGTTTGAATATAATAGAGAAGTACTATGGTTTTAATTTTATTTATAGTTTGTTGTAATTCTAAATTTTGGAAGACAAGTAAGTATACATACAATACAACAAGCAAAGAAAGGAATAGCTTTAGCATGGCATTGAAGTTTTGCTTCACATAAGAAATCTAAGCTAGCTAGCTTCTTTGTTGTTATAACATTATATTACTAATTCATCTTCTTTGGCATGTGTGTGAGTTTTAACATATAGGTTACCACCGTGGTGGGATGGATAGGATATCTCGTCATTGTTACTTAGAGGTCTCAGATAATTACTAATTCATCTTCTTTGGCATGTGTGTCTGTTTTAACGTATAACTTACCAGCGAAGGTTGTGGTGGGATGAATAGGAAATCTCTTCATCGTTACTTAGAGGTTTCAGATTCAAATTTTCACAATGAAAAAAATCTTGATAAGAAGTAGTGGAGGAGCGATTTTATGTATAAATTATGTTGTTTAGCCAGAATCAATTTTACGTGTCTCTCTATTGTTTTATATTTTGACACCTCTCAGTAAAATTTCTCATTCTGCCACTAATAAAAAGTGTTTGTCTTTTTAATCAGTCGTATGCAACGTGAATCTGAATTAGTCTAGACCTCCAAAGCGGTACCAAACAGGAAAAATTTACATTAGTACACTACTGGCTGCAATTGCATGATTTAGCATTTAAATGGATTACTCTTTAGTTTTTGTTCTCCAAATAGGTTGATCTTTAACTTTTACTCCCAGAAATCGAACTTATGCTTAGGGAACATAAGTTCTTTAAGGGCGTGAAGCATAACTATGGAATATTATGATGCAGAAATTTAAACCTGTGTTCCATAAAAAAATTATTTACCTTAAGGGTAAAAATTTAAGACCAACACAAAATAGGACAAAAGTGCAAATGACCCAAATTATGAACTAGGCCCAATTTCTTTTGTAGGCCCATTTAGAATCAAACGGATCATACCAGGCAGATATTGCATTAGGTAGCCACAGTTTAAACTTCAGTCTTCCGGTTAGAATTGGACATTTGGACTGCACTGACGTTAAATACATTATACAATTTGGTTATTTTTTAAATAGAGGTCCTAAAAGCGTTATTTCGCTCGTAGCTAATAAAACTATGTTGCTAATTCGCCACTAAATAGAGTTAGCAATGAATTTTGTTGTTTAATTATGAAATTTGTCCATCGCTAAATCTTTTTTTTTTTTTCTTTTTAGTAGTGCTAGCTTTATTTTTGTATAATTTGTTGGTAAAATTTAATTTAAAGTAATTGAGTCAAAGACATAGATCAATGTCATGTCATTTTCCAATTTATTTATGCAATCTGAACATTAGACTTAAATGTCAACATTTTGCAATAAAAGTTTCCATATTTATTGGCTTTTTTATATCTATAAAAATATATAATCAAAGATTTAGATAAGATCTTTGACCACTAAATTGTCTTAACAAAAAACATTTTTACTTTACCTTGATGGTGGTGATCTTATTAATCATCAAAAGTTATAGGGTATCAAAATTCTACTATGAAGTAATCATTAATGACTCTTCTTATTTATGGTACATTTTAGGTCCTGTGAAAAACTATTGTATAGACTAATCATTGCCAAAATTAATTAAAAGCATTTGTTTATTCATTGAATTTCAACTCAAGTTTTGGAGTGGGGGGTGGGTTGAAGTTATGCTTTTTTAACCTAAGATCGCTAATTCAGATTCACGTCGCGCAGATGAAAAAGCATTATTTATCGGAAGTTTCTGTATTTTCAGTACTCGAACTCAAACTCAAGATCTTATCATGCCTCTTGATATTATATAATGATATATTGTCACGTGTTAGTCATAAATTTTTTTTACCAACATTAACGATTAAGTCTCATCGAAGGAAATCGTCAAAGCTATGGTAAAGGTGTATTCGTGCGACCTATATATGTGTCATAGGTTTGTTTCAGAATATATAGACTATATATGGACCTAACATTACGTTCCCTCTTAGGATGCGATTTTTTCTCATCGTGCAACACAAGATACTTCATACATTATAAAGTCATATATACTACTAAAGGGTACGGATCTTTTCACATCCTACATGAACACAAGATATTTTGTGCATTTGAATCGTATATATACTATATAGTATATTTTTAATATTGAAAGAATTTTTGTACGTAATGCATGCCAAGATTGGGCCCTTCATATAATGATGAAATCATATTTGATGTTGACTTAAAATAAAATAGGACAACAATAAAGTGTTATATTATATCGTAGGCGCATGCCATTGCCCAAAAGTTAATGGATTGGATCACATCACCGAAAAAAAATGACTTCTTCATGATTAGGAGACACTATTGTTAGCTCAAATATTTATTCGCACTCGATGTTAATATCACGTAAATATATAAATATATATATATATATGAATATTCATTCCTTTCATGTTTATTGTTATTTCAATGGTGTTGTCTTCGAGGTCTTCATCTATTTCCCTTTGGTCTGAATATTTATAGTCGATAAATCTGATTGAGGTTTGTGTGTATATATATAATCATTTGGACTATTAAGTTTTTTTATGTCGATAGTGTTTTCTCGGCTTTCAAATATTAATCATCGAAATATAATCCACTGTTAGAGTTTCTGAGGGTTATAAATCGAAGTTAAAAATAGATCAAGAATAATTTTCTCGTCAAAGAATGTTTTCTTTCTAGAGGTCTCGGGTAGTGAAAGATAAATAATCACTAAGGAATAGTTTTAACTATGATCAGGAAGTAAAATAATACTTGGGGAGACATATATCTCGTTAACTCAGACTTATTAATCACAATATAAAGAAAAATGCTACATATCATCAAATATTGACGCCTATAAATGTTTTATACATTTCATTTTATATATCTTTCTTTCCTTTTTAATCTGTTTATAAAATCAAGACATTTTAGAAAGAGCAAATAATTGTCACATGCTCTACAATGTATATAATTTTTTATTGGGGTACAACTTTATTATTTGTATTCATTTTTGATGATTTTTTACAAAATATATATAGAGAGTCTTAATCAAAAGTTATTAAGATTGGATGAACTCATATGTTATTAATTAATTTTTTTCATCTATCTGAATAAAGATTAAAATATAAACCTCAGGTGTTAATAATTTTTTATCGTGCAACACTTACATCAAATAACCTTTCAATACAATTCCATATATATAAGGGATTTCGATATAACACAATATTTTGATTCAAGTATTATATTTGTATTAAAATATAATAATTTTAAAGGATTAGAATTCAGAATTCATAAATTTTAAATTTGTTTCTAATTCCGGTCGACCAAAGAATAGGACCACATAAAAAAGGGTGAAAATAAAAAGCTTTTATTGATTCATAATATTTGCTCATAACTCATGATTGTTATGATAGCTTCAACTAATGGTAAGCATGCCGATATTATTACTAATAATGTGTGAGTAACTTTAAAATCTCTATCGACATCTTCTCAGTTGTGTTTGTCATGTCAAATTTTATCTAATAAAATTTATCTTTTTATGTGATTTGCAAATTATTGTACATGAGCGAGTTTATGTAATGCACATGAATTTTTGTTGATTTCCAAAAATTAACTTTAAAGCCCTTCATTTTCTAAAATATCAAATTAAACTACTTATATACTTGGCTAAATCTAGTCCACTTTTTACTTATAGATATACATATATTCAGCTAGGGAGATTAACTACGAAATTTATCGTTTATCTATTGCTAAATATTTAATAGCTATAATATTTTTTTCTTAAATTGTTGCTAAAAGAGGATTAACGACAGATGCTATCCATCGCTAATTCTTATTTTCTTTTTATAGTGTAAATCCACAAAACCAAAAAATAAAAAAATTCAAGAACAGTATTATATAGTTTTTATATAATATACTCTTTGTTAGCATAAAAAGTGGAAAGAATCAAATGATTTGTTAAAAATAAATCCTTAGTTTACTTTAATTAACCCAGCACATGATTAAGGGAAAAAAAGGTGGAGGGGAGAAAAAGAAAATCTTCTTTTTATTTTACTTTTTGGGTATATATTTAACTTATATGACTTAAAAATATTACTTAATATTTTTTACACGAAACATAGATATAAACATGAAAACTCATTAAGTTTGGATTAATATAAAATTATGAACCTATAAATTTTAAAATACGATATTCCATCTGTACTAAAAGCCTTAAAACTTGAACTCGTCAAACATAAAAAATTCATTACTAGAAACAAAGGGTTTTTTAATAAATCAATGGAAAAAATTATACTATAAAACATGATTTTCCCACTTATTTCTCATCAAAACAGCTCACTGGTAAAACACATGGTGGAAAACAGATTCTCACTTAAATGTCGGGAAACTTCCTAATTTTGTCGTAGACAAACACTACTATTTTTATTTTCTTTTCTCACTGATTCAATCAAAATATTTGTGAAAATAGTCGTTGAACATTTTTTAGTGGAAAATTTCAATGTGAAAATAGTGATTTTTTTAGTAGTGTTTGGATGCCTATGACCTTCCCCTTCTATAAATAGAGCTTACATGTCAATGTATTCATCACAACACACACAACAACATAAAAATACTCTCATCACTTACCACACAAACATACACACACACACTAGATCATCCAAAATGACAATGAGGTTTGTGGCTATTTTTGCAATTGTACTTTTTTTGGTTTTTGTTCAAGAAACTAAGGTAACAAAAGCATATGTGAGTTGCAATCCATTGCAACTAAGTGCATGTGCAAATGCCATAACATCATCCACAACTCCAAGTTCAATTTGTTGCTCAAAGTTGAAAGAACAAAGGCCATGTCTTTGCAAATACATGAAGGATCCAAGACTTCAAAAGATGATTTCTTCTCCTAATGCCAAGAAAGTTGCTTCTACTTGTGGTTCCCCTTTCCCAAATTGCTAAGAATACTAATGCCCAATTTCTATATTATTAG